GTTTCCAAATGTATGGTTAAGACAGCGGAAGTCATGTGACGCTGGAAGCATGCGCGCTGGAGTTTCTAGAAGGATCATGACTGTTCCTGGCAACTCTAGTCTTTTGTAGGCGCTCTCTATTTTAGTATATAAGCCCGGCAAATAAAGCGAAGAATAATTGCAGATAGATATAGATAGAGACAGATAATCGATTCAAGCGAGCGGTAGTGACCATAAGAAAAGTGCGTGAATCGTTGTGAATTATAGCTTGTGTTGAAGTTAAAGTGACTGTGGAAATTCTGTGTATTGCAAAGTTGTATTGAGAAAGAATAAACTACTTTTATTTAAGAAAGAATATGTATCGCTGAAGTTCCTCGGGAAGAAATTTTACGGGAAATTATCAAACAAGCAGATACATAACAAATTGGTGTCACAGAGTGGGACTGAAAAAAAATAAAAGAACAAGAAGATGGAAACGAGAAGTGGCAAATCAAACTATAGCTTAGCAGATTTGATGGCAGCAATACAAGAAAAGTAAAAGAAACAAGAAGAGAGGTTACAGCAGTTGTTGGAGGAAAAAGAAAAAAAACAAGGAGAGGGACAACAGCAGTGGTAGCTCAAACAGCAAAATAAACAAGAGAGATTCAGCAGTTGTTGGAAGAGAAAGAAAAGAAACAAGAAGAACGAGAAAAGAAACAAGAAGAGAGATTACAGCAGTGGTTGGCGGAGAAAGAAAATGAAGTCACATCCCAGATATGAATGTCAGTAATAGGAGTGATCCAGTGCGAAGGAAGCCACGGGAATTCGATGGGAAGGCACCGTGGGAAGCATATAGATCACAATTTGAGCTCCTGACAGAAATGAATGGATGGACAGAAGAGCAGAAAGCAATGTACCTGGAAACGAGCCTGAAGGGACAACCATTGAAAATACTTGGCCAGTTGTCAGCAGACGACAGGCACAACCATAGAGCACTGGTAGCTGCTCTAGAAATCAGGTATGGAACTCAAAATCAGTCCGAAGTCCACAGGGCTAGGTTTAGGACAAGAGTCTGTGCTAAAGGAGAAAGCCTGCAAGAATTCCATTGTTCCCTTCGTTCCAACTGAAATGTCCTGGACCGTGATAACACCAAAGCCTGTTGGCATGCACCACCTTTGGTTTACCACGCCGACCACATTTTATTTGGAAAGTCACGTCTGAGAGACGATCCACTATGTCATATGCTGTGGCATATTCCCTGTGCTGAAGTTGCCAGCATTGAGCTCTCTGGTACCCAGGTTTGTTACAGTGCCAGCAAAGTTCCCCAAACCTCTCTGAAAGCTGACCTTTTCTGGCCTTGAATCCTGATGACTGTACCAACCTTGGTACATCTGTGCTGGACTTAAAATAGGATTCGAATTCAAGAGCTCTGGCCATTGCATCCTGCATAGTAGAGGGGTGTGCTTGCTTCACTTGTATCTTCAGTTGTGGACTGTTCAAGGCATCTACAAACTGATCCCTCAGCAACAGCTTGAGGACATTGGGTGGTGCAGTTGGGTAGGCCTTGTGTGCCATACTTTTCAAATCCTGTGCCAGTAAATGACGCTGCTGAAGACGTGTCACCTGAAAAAGCTACTGTCGAAGAAGAAACTCTACCCGGTTTTGAGAAGGAAAATGGTGAAGCAGTTAATGAAGTTACTACCACTGATGTGACTGCTACAGATAATGGGATATTTCCTGATAGAGCAGATGAACCCCACGTGAAGCAGAAGCCAATGAGACAGAAACCAGT